GGAGGCAAAAATGATGAGGTTTCATCTCACATATTTTGGACATATTACTAGCGGGCGCTGTTCCTTGGGAAAGGACATGATACTAGGAAGGGTGGAGGGTTTGTGAAGAAGAGGAAGAACCTCAACCAGGTGGATTGATGCAGTGGGATCAGATCTCTTATTCATAGGGTCTCTCTGAATCGTATTTGACTCGACAGCACCTAAGAACAACAACAACATATGGTTAACATAATTAAAAATTTCTTACATCTTTATAAAGCCTCTTCCAATATATTTTCACAAAATTAAAAAGCTTGGTGACTCTTGTCCAATCCTTAGCTGATACTTTTTACAAGCGGATGGTTTTTAACTCTACGCTTTCAGCGAAATTAAAACCCGCTTTGATGGAATTATTAGGTGATAAACAATAGCTCATCTAAAAATTTTATTTTAGTATTTGGAAGTAGGAGTGGCATCCACTTCCTAAATAACATGGCCTCTAGAAACTCTGTGAACTGATAAATATCAATAGTTGTAGAGGGGCTTCAAGCCTTTTGTTCATAGGTTCACTGTGAGTCGTGCTCGACTTGAAGGCACTCAACAACATGTCCTGTCTCCAAACCTGTTCAAATATTTCATTCAAAAGGCTTGGTTTATTGAGGAGGAATGTGGCATTAAGATTGGAAGAAGATTCGTCAGCAACCTACGTTTTGCACAACCTTGCTTGCCTAAACTGAGGAGGACCTGAAGAGCTTGCTACAGAAGGTCCTAAACTGAAGTCTTCAATATGGATTGAAGCTCAACATCAAGAAGACAAAGATTCTCACCACTGGGCCAATTGGCAGCACCATAATAGTTGGAGAAGAGATTAAGATTGTTAACAGTTACATCTTACTCTGCTCCACAGTCAACACTCTTGGTACTAGCAGTCATGAAATCAAAAGACAAATTATACTGAGAAAATCTGTCAGAGACCGTTCCAAAGTGCTGAAAAGCAGTGATACTAGTCTAGAGTCTAAGATGCGCCTGATCCAGGCCATGGTCTTCTCAGTTACTTGCTGTACATCACAGAGCTGAACAGTGACTGAGCATGACAGAAGAAATTGATGCCTTTGAGTTGTGGTGCAGGAAAAAAGTCTTGAACATACCATGGACTGCCAAGAAAACAAATAGATCTACCTTGGAGAGGGTGAAACCTAGTTTCTCCTTGGAGGCTAGGATTTTGAAGCGCTGGTTCACAAACTTTTGGCACATGGCCAGATTGACCTGTCTTTAGAGAAGGACATCATGCTTGGAAGGGTGGAAAAGAAAACCTCTGGTGAGATAGACTTGATACAGTAACTGGGGCAATGGGAGTAGGTGTGTCAGAATTAATGAGACTGGTTCAGGACAGGGCAGGCTTCAGAGCTGCTTTACATAGGATCACTATGAGTACTAGGCGATTTGATGGCATGTAACAACATAAGCCTGGAAAAGAAGGGAAAGCATAGAAGTAAAAAGGAATTAAAGATAGGTGATCTTATTATAACAAGATTCCTACTTATTTATTCTGCTTCTTGAATCACCTTCAGCTAAGCCAGTCCCCATTGCTTTATTTATAGGAATAAGATTTCTTAGTGACTAATGCCTGGAAAAGTATATGTTTAGTGTAGGGAGAACACTCTCATTCTGGTAATGAGTCCTAGGTAGCTGTGGACATCTCAATTAGTAGAGAAATTTTAAAAATCATTTTCATTAGAAAACACATTACCAATATTTTAGTCTTTACATTTACAGTGTATCAAAATTCATAATATTAATTTACTTGAAATAGATTCATTCAAAGGGAGCTCTGGTGGCCTAGTGGCAAGACGCTGCACTGTAGTCCCAGAGGTATGCGGTTCAAATCCACCAGATGCTCTGCTGGAGAAGGAGGGGGCAATCTCCTCCTGTACCAGTCAGATCTGATTTGACGGTACACGTAAAAATAATACAATAAAAATTAAAAAGAAAGAAATAGATTCATTCAAAGAATGATGTCTTTTTTTAACACTGTAGCTTTTTTAACTGACAGAATAACAGTTGGTCATTTACACTAGGATTAGGGTTGTGTTAGTACTCTGCACTCAGGGAAATGACAGCAACAGTCATGTTTGCAATAGTGATTAGGGATGAGTTTGATTTTTCCCCCCCTTTTATAATTAATCCTTTGTTGTTGCCATTACAAAAGCAATAGTTTGGTGGGGGGTTTTTGGTCTCTATTTAATTTCCAAAAGGAGTAACAGAAAATAAAGAAAGCCGTAAACATAGGTAGTTGCGGTGTGATTAATTCAGGACTTTTTTTTAAGCTTTTTTAAATTATTTTTATTTTATATTGGTTTGTGTACAAAATTTTTATGCAGGGTGTTTCCTTCAGTACAGTCTGTGTCACACATTCCTCGAACACATTGAATTTCCTATGATCATTCCCATACAGTCTGTTATATAAAATGAATCACCATTGATCTATGCCCACCATTACTCCACCTTTTCAGGTCACTGGGTCTTTCCTAATTTCATCATCCCCTCCATCTCATTTGAGAGGGTTTCCCAATGAAGTGAACTCTTTTGTTTTTCATTTTAGGCCACGTGGTGACAATGAATAGATGATACAGTAGGGACAGAGGTGGCAAGAGAAAGCTACTCTGGCATGGACAGATACAAGAGGCAAAGGGTTGTGTTTGCAAAAGTAGTAAGACAAGTTAAAAACAATGTCCTGGTGAAATGAGTTTCCAGAGAAGGCAAGAGACATACCTTTTCACTTTTAGGTACAAATTGAAGTATTTGTACCTCAGGTCCTTACACCGAATTAGACATTCAGTAAATATTCCATTACCAAAGCAGAATAGTCTTAGTTTCATTAAAGTTCTATATTTGCAAGCTAGAGAATTACAGAGAGTCTGCTTGGTGGACAGGGGACGTTTGGATCTGAGGAAGTAGATGAATTAAGTCAGTATTTCACTGCTCATCCACTTCCTAAACCACATGCCTCTGGAAACTCTATGTACTTAGATAAATGACAATAGTTAGTGAATGGCTTCAGGCTTTTTATTCATAGGGTCACTCTGAGTCATGCTCGACTAGACGGCAAACAACAACAAGGTATGATGGGTTCTTATCCCGGAGCTCACCATGAACACATCTGCTCCCTCGGGCTCCATGGCCCAGGATGCCTTGCAATTGAGATTTGTTACACACATTATGTATCCTAGTGTCATGCCTGGTAACAGTAAGAGGCAGTGACGCCAGGAGGACATGGCGGAGTTCTGTGCAGCCTCGCACAGCTTTTTCCCTCTTACTGTTTCGTGATTATCGCTTGGCTCTTTTGTCTCACCTCCTATTGGTCCTCTCATTCCTTCATTTTCCTTTTGGTCTCACCTCCTGTTCATCCTCTCATTCCTTCATTTCCCTTTTTCTCCCTTACACTCAGCTTTGTCATCTTGCTATGCTGCCATATTGTGGTTGTCCTTGAGTCCTGACTTTCCAGCAGAATAGTAACCTCTTTACCTAAGGTTTTCGTGGAACTGCTCCAGCTCTTCCATCTCCTGAGACCTAAACTTCCTTTTTTTATACTTCTGATGTCATAAAAGAACGCTAAGCAGATGGTGTTAAGTTAAATTTGTTCACTCTGTTATAAATATATGTTAGAACAACTTTTAAAACCATTAATGGGTAAGGAATACATTTTGTATCTTCTTTTCAGTCTTAACTAAAATCCTAGATTTTTCCCAAATTTCTTCCTCCATGATGGAAAGTGAGCTTTCCAGCATCCAAGAAGCCCCCAGGTACCCTAGGCTAGATTTCTCCTTCAAAGGCAGAGGTATCTTTTGCCTGAGCAGCTAGCGAAAGCCTTCGGTCTTCTCACCCTCCCTATTTGTCCATCATTTCATAAGCCAAAACCATCCTCAAACCATCTTACTCTGTTTAAAATCCTCTTCATTCATCTCATTCTGAGGATTTCTGCCTTTCCTCCTCCACCCTCTGCAACCACTTAGATTAGTAAATTCACTACAGTGTGATGGAACAGTGTTCTAAGTATAAATAACGCCGTTGCTAACACGGGTCAAGTACATTTTAGCCCAGACTTCGGCCTGATTTATTATGCTTTTATAAAGCAATCTCAGCTAAGATCAGCACAGAAAAGAAATCCAGGACGTGAAAGCTCCACGCATTTGGGTAATTGGAGCTGGAGACCCAGTAAGATATTAGGCTAGAGACAGGATCTACAGATGGTTTGAGAACAAATGGGATCGTCTTGGGGCTGAGCCTGGCTTCCAGTTCTTGTGGGACCCTGCTGATGGCCAGAATCCTGAGATGTCCCTGGGGACTTGTGGCAAAGTTAACTCTGACCAACTCAGAGAGTCTGTTGCAACTCAGAGAGTCTTCCTCATTGCCACCTGGACATCCATCCAGTCAGTTTTGTCTCTGAAACACAAATCTCTTTCTCTTACTCTCATTTGAAGGGGAAAAAAAAGATGCACATGTTGGCCTGCTGTTCAAGAAGCTTATATGACATGACCCTTCAGTTCACACACACATGTGACCAACCCCACCTTGCTGCTACTCCATGGCATAGTAGCCATTGAACTTCTGTGGACTTGCTGACTGTCAATGGGCCAGAGATTTTCCCCTCTTTTACCAAGAGTCTGTCTTCACGTCCTTCACTCCTCCAGTTACCCTCCCCATGGCCCTTTGCTCTTGCCACACCTTGCTGGTGTGACGTGTGGACATCCCTGTCCCCAGCCTGTAGTCTGGGCCAGACTGTAAGTGCTTGAGTGAATGTGCAAGTGCTGTATGGAAACCACATGCTTTTTCATACTTAGCAAATCCACCATTTTTTTAACCCACAAACAGGAGCCAAAAGCTGAGTTTTAAATCACTTTTATCTGTTTCTGAGTAGGCAAAAATCTCATGTAAACTGGCCTTTGAGTGACAATTGGAAGTTCCTGGTCTCTTCCCCAGCACGCTGGGTTGCTGACGCTCCTCGTGCTTCTGTTTCGTAGGCTTCAGCTCTGGCGGCATGGACTATGGCATGGTTGGTGGGAAGGAGGCTGGAACCGAGTCTCGCTTTAAACAGTGGACCTCCATGATGGAGGGGCTGCCCTCTGTAGCCACACAGGAAGCCAATATGCACAAAAATGGTAAGAGCAAACGTTGGCGATGAAGCCATTCCGACCCACAGCTGACCCAAGGACCCATCGTATGAAATTATTTTGAAGCACAGATCTTCAGCTTTTTCCAAATGAATCTGTCCATGTTCTACCCCTGACTTTTAAGATCACCTAGATAGGAAGGTTGTAATTCATAGGTGAGATTACACGAAGTGATGAAGGGAGCAGGATTTTCTGCCAGCCCCTGGGATTATCTGGGGACCTGATGTGGTAGCATCCTGATAGGCTCGCTGAGGGAACAGCAGTAGCTGATTGTGCCTTTGTTGGTATTTATTTTTGAGACATGGCAAACAAGTACCTGTGTTGATAGTTTGAACCATACTAGAAGTATCAACCTTTTAAAAAATTAATGCCTTTTAATCTCCTGTGGATTTGAAGCTTTGCACAAAGCTTTCTTCCTCTTTGTGAATTAACCATATCTGCAACGAGAACATTGGAGGGCATTGCCGGCTTTGCTGGTGAATTGTCAGTCCCTCTTCATTATTCTCTGGAAGGACTTCTCCAGTTGCTGTAAAAAAAAGTAAAGGGTCTCAGAGCCTTCCTACAGCCTTTGCTTCAGTGTCTTCTCATTTGATGGTAACTCAGCTGGACTCAGCTCTGTCCTTGAGGACCACATAGAATATAAATAGGTGCCTGAGTGTTCCTACTGCCGCCCTTGGAAGGCCTCAGCCAGTCATTCAGCCTTTCCAGTTCCCTGTATAAACCACTCTTTAACGTGCCAGTCCAGGAGGTGGGTGGAGTGGCCACCTGGGGGCTCTGCTTGGGATCCTGAGGCATTACCATTTGGCTTCATGCCTTGAAATCAAAGGTGATTTATTGAATTATAAATTCTGTTTCTGGCCCGAATACTCTTAAACTCAGCAGTCATTTATAGCTTTGGGCACATTGACAACTTCTTACCATTGATTATTCACTGGGTCCCCTGGTCTCCAGGGACAGGCTTGATGCCTGATGGTAAGTACAGAATGGCACGTGAGAGACCATCTTAAAGGTGGAGTAGCCACTTGCCTTTTTAGAGGTTATAAGGAGTGTTTCTCCTACTTGAGTCATCTCCAGGGTAATTGATCTTTTCATTTTCCTCCACTTCACCACGATGTGCCCTTGAGCCAATCGCTGCCACTGGCTGCAGATAAGCAGATGACAGCGCGGCTGTTGGCAGTGCTTGTGCGAGAGCAGACCCAGCAGATGATTTGTACCAATATTTAAATGGGGGTTTTACCACTGTCTCCTGGAAATCATCTTCTCTTCAGAGACAGACTAAGAATGGAGATGAGATATGACTAGATGTGCGAGTAGTGACTAGAATGGTGTCTCACAGATGCTGACAGCTTTGTCTCAAGTTCTCTCTTTGGGACTAGTTTGAGGGAATTGTAAGCTTTTCCCTTTGTTTTCCCCTGCTCCACAGCCTCTGAAGGGCACAGAGGGGGCACTGGCACAATGGGTGAAGGGCACTCAGGAAAGCCGCCACAAAGGATCTGCTGTTGTTGGCGTGTGAGGGTCTGGCCCCGGCCCAGAGCCCTGGCGGCGTGCTGGTGTCGTGCTGGCAGAGACACTGTGCGGGAATTCCACCTCATTGCTTTGGAATTTAAAGCAATTGCAGATGCTTCTCTCTCCAGTGAGCATCCAGCATCTACCCTGCTGTGTCCAGCAAGGCCTGGTCAGCACCAGGGACCTTGGCTGGGGAGCTTTGGGTAGAAATGAAGTTTAAAACCCTCTTTCTACCCCAAATCATGTAGTGTTTTTCTGATTCTCACGTCTAGTTATTTCTGTTAATAACTGGGGATTGTGGGGTGAAGTAGAGTTCCTGAAGGATTTCTTCATTCCTAAGACCATTGACTTTTAAAACAGCAACGTTCATGAGTAAGAACAATTCTGTGTGCAGAACTGAGACATTGTGAAGCCCTCGACACACTGCGTGGTAGCCACATACAGAGCCTCAGACAGCCCCTACTCTCGTACTTTTTGTCCGCATATGTTTTCTTCTGTTTGTGTGAGTTATTCAGGTCACAGGGTAATTTCCTTGTGTGAACTAATATTCTCTCTCCTTTCTCAGGCGCTATAGTGGCCCCTGGTAAGACCCGAGGAGGGTCACCGTACAACCAGTTTGATATCATCCCAGGTGACACACTGGGTGGCCATACGGGTCCTGCTGGTGATAGCTGGTTACCTGCCAAATCTCCACCAACAAATAAAATCGGAAGTAAATCCAGCAATGCCAGTTGGCCTCCAGGTATTGTCTAGGAAATGCGTCCTCCAGGATGGCGATTGTGTTGCATTGTTCATCCCAGGTTCTGAGCACCCACTTAGCTAAAGTCACTCAATTTTATTATCAATTCAGTGATGATAGTCTCATAAAAGTCAGGCTTGTACTGTGTATTGTGGCAAGAGAGAGAATTTTCTTTCACTGGAGACACTGCTTCCCAGGGATTAGACAGGAAGAGTCAATGTCTAAGATCTGATCAGCTACATATCAGTGTCTGTGGGGTAAACACGGCTCAGGCATGGTGCCCCAGGAACTCAAGAGGAGTGGAATCCAGAGGTCAACCCAAGGTGACATCGAACTTAGTAGTTGTCATTCATCCCATGGGTTTGTTGAAGTCCATTAAGTTGATTTGTTTACAAAGCGAGTGTTTTTTTATTAGATTGCAAATAAATGGTACTGGGCGCAATGACATTGGTTAATCATTTTTAACATGTTGTTGTGTCCTCTTGAGTTGACTGTGACTCCTAGTGGTCCTGTGAAGAACAGATCTGCACCCTGCCCTGTCTTGTGCTACCTCACCATCTCCTCAATACTTGAGCCCATTGTTATAGTCACTGTGTCAATCCAGCTTGTTGAGGATCTTTTTTAACATAGATAATCTATTGTCCTAGAAAATTTAGTAAAGCAGAAATGAAAATTGATAATGAAGAATTTGGTATCCGTTTTCCACGTCTCTTTATGTGTATGTATTTTATGTCACTAGTAGGTATAGGTTTTGAAATAAGGTCTTATAATACATGTTTTACTTCGTCATAGTGATTAGGAGAATACAAGTTTATTCATTTTATCACATAGCTTTAAATGTGCGAGGACCAGTGGGTGGACTGCATGCAGCCTCAGATATATTCTGGGAATTTCATGTAATAGGTCAAGTTTTTCCTGGATGTCTGTGTGTTGTTGTGTGCCATAAAATTGCTTCTTGACTTAAGTGACCTGTTATAATAAAACTTCTGTAGAGTTTCCAAGACTAATCTTTGTGGGAATAGACTATCACTTCTGTCTCTCACAAGGTGCCTAGTTTCGAACCACCAGCCTTTTGATGAGCAGCTAAGTGATTAACTATTGTATCCATAGGGCTTCTTCCTAGCTGCAGGCTATTGTTTGCTTAGATGCTTTAGAAAGCAGTTTCTAGTGAAGAAACTGGACAGATCACAGATCACCAACCCAGATCCTCCTCTAATTACTGGTCCCAATGCCTGAGCAGCTCTTACAAGCTTCAGAGGGCTTAATCCTGCTTTCCCTCCCTTCAGACTGTGGTCTCTCTGGAGCAGAAAGACCAGGACCTAGGGCTGGGTGTTGATGAGTTCACGACCACACACAGAAAATGAATAGTAGTATTCAAGCATAAAGATACAGGTCCTACTAGAAGATGGTGTGTCATGCTGAGTTTTTTTACTTAATGGTAATGAAATCTGTAGTGGCCTGGTGGTAAGGAGTTGTGCTGCCAACCTGAAGGGATACAGTTCAAATCTACCACTGCTCTAAGGAAGAAAGATGGGGAATCTCTCTTGTGCAGTTTACAGTCTCGGAAAATCTGCTGGAGGGCCAGCTATGAGCCAGTTCAGACTTGATTGCATTTATTACACAGAGCCATGTTAAGACCCTTCATAGAACCATTTCAGAAATATATATATATATTTTTTTTAATAGCCTCTGACCCATAATTATTTGTTCTCTTTGTCTCAGAATTCCAACCAGGAGTGCCATGGAAAGGTATCCAAAACATTGACCCTGAGTCTGACCCCTATGTCACCCCAGGAAGTGTGCTAGGGGGTACAGCCACATCTC